AGGTTGGGTTATTCTTCCTCTCTTCTCTCGTTTGTAAAGGTGAGGAAATGATTAATAGCACTACCTGGTCAGCTGGGGGTTAAATGAATTAAAACTTACAGAACACTTAGGACCTTTCCTCACTTAGGACAAGTACTCACCAAACAGTGAATAATAGGCTCCATCTCTCCATCCATTTGTCCACTCCCATAGCTTTAAAAGCCATCTATTACCTAATAACTTCCAAACTTAGATCTTTTGTTCCAAACCCCATACTCCCTATTTAACTGTGCAGTGTATTTTGAGGACTTGGGACATCTCTTGTGAACATGCCCACCACAGAGTCCTTACCTTCCCCCCAAATCCACCAACCCTTGCTATCTCAGCCAATTACACGGAGCGAGTACCTGCCTTTCTAGGAAATGCATAGTGCACAGATTGTGCAACCTCTATACTGGGTGAGGTTTCCACTACCTTGGCATGTGCCCACAGAGATTATGTGAGAGCATTTGGAACAGTAGAGCGTGACCTCCTGATCCTGGCTGTTCATGCCAGGTGGTGTCTGTACTTCTGTCTGTGTGTGTGAGTTTCTGTACTTGGCCAAGTGGTTATGTGTGGGTCTGTATGGCAAGAGGCCTATTGTTTCCCATCAGCAAGTGGCTGGGAGCAGATGTTACTATGGAGTGAAAGCGCAGATGGCTTCAGATGACCAGCCCCACTTTCCTACACCAAAAGCCCGCTTTCTTCTGTGCCTATCCCAGTGAGCAGGACAAAGGGAAGGGACTTCCCTGATGTACCAACCTCTACAATCTCCCTGTGCCCTGAGAGAAGTTCACCTTGGAGGATTCACCTCTGCACACAGGGCTTCTCTGAGACAGTGGCCTAGAAGGATGACAGCTGAATCTCCTCTCCAGGGACAGGGACAGGAACTCTCACTGACTAAATAGTTTTGTCTGTTGTCAGACAGGCTCCCCTAGAAAGAGAAGCCCAAGGCTCTTTTCCTCTCTCCTTGAGGCCTGCCAGGACAGCTCTGTCATTAAGTGAACTGGGAACTGACTCCCAGGGACATGCCACCAACCATCACACCATACCTACCTTCTCCCTTCCTGAGCTCCCTCCTACAAGTCAGTACCTCAAAGATAACGCACTCGGGATGTGGAGGCAGAAGATCCGTATTTCACGATCATCCTCTGCTACACAAGTTCAAGGCCAGTTTGGGCTCTATGAGACCCTGTCTTCCCTCCTCTCAAAACAGCCTTTGCCTGAGACCAGCCTTCACAGCTGGAGGGCAGTGGCCATCTCTTTTGGGGTTCACTACAGGTCTTCGAAGTTCTGAACATCCCACAGTGCGTGTCCCCCTCTTCCCCTTTATTTTGGTCCTCTATAGAAGAATGGCCGAGGAATTATTATCCAAGAGGTCACAGGCACCCCCAGTAATCTTTCCAAACCTATCTGCCCGCCTTGGACCCCATGGGGCAGGAAGGTGCAGGTCTGTCCCTCCTAAAGCCGAGGCAGACCTAAGTTATGTGCAGAGCTAAGCCTGTCGCACATAACTAGGGACAGATCCGGAGTCTGGGCTTCCCCCGTGGGGCCTCCCAGGGCACCTGCCCAAGGCCACCCAGCGCGCCAGTCCAGGCAGCGCCGGTGGAGCGGAGCCGGACCTCCCAGCGGCCGATGGGGGCGGTGACCGCCCGGGGCCTTCCCACGGTTCGGTGGCGCGTCACCGCGGGGGCGAGGGGGCGCCGGGGCGCCCCGGGCTGCGGTGCAGGAAAGGGCCCTGGGAAAGGGCTGCGTCGGCTCCCGGGCCGGGGCGGGGCCGGGGCGGGGCCCAACGACCAACTCCACGGATCGCAGGGCTGAGACCCCGCAGCCAGCTCTCGTCATGAAGCGGCCCAGGGCGCCCAGTGGCTCCGATGGCGAGTCTGACGGACCCATTGACGTGGGTCGGGAGAGCGACCTCAGGTAAGACAGAGTGGGGCTGAGGCTGTCGAGGGTGAGAGAGAGTCCAGCACACTCAGGTGTGCACAGCAGCGCGCAGGTGTCAGCCAGGATGCAGGGGTGTGTGCAGCGTCTCCAGTGTGTCCACAGCACCAGTATGGCGAATTCCTGGGTACCCCGGGCCAGTTAGGATTCTGGACGTTGGGATGGAAGGAGAATTCTGCTAGGGGGTATATTATGCCATTTGGCTGCACCCAGGGACGCCCCTGGAAAGTTTTACTGCAGACCTTAGGAAACTTTCATAGACGTAGGTTCCACATTCCGTTGCCCCTAATCTATTCACTATGAAGACATCTGTACTTCCCAATTTTACCCTTCTTTGGGAGCAGTTTTCACATGGTACAGAAAAGGATGGGGGGATGTGGGGGTTCCCTTTGAGCACACTGAACGCTGGAATTGGGTTTAGGTACTGAAAACAATTCCTAGCCAGTTTGGAAGAACCTAGACACCAATCTCAGAGCCCCTTCCACAAAACCACCCAAATTGCCAGTGTTCTTCCACCTTTGTTAAATATTCTGACTTTTAACCTGTGGAACAAACTGATCTTGTATGGTCCTTGCTACTTCCCAGCTCTGTGACTCCATAAGCTTCAGTTTTCTGATCTGTAAAATGGGAATAAATAACAAAGCCAGCACCAGAGTGTTAGTAAAAACCCAGTGGAAGAAAAGATGTCAAGGGCTTAGCAGCAGCTCATGGTGAATGCTCAGCGTCAGGCTCGCACGTGAAAGAGCCTTCAAGCCCTTGCCACCCAGCCCACATCTGCCACCAAGTCACCATACAGCCTGCCTTTCTCTCTCTTTCTTCTTTCCTCTCCTCCTCCTTTTCCTTTCTTCAGTGATAGGCATTGGATCCAGACCCTGGTGCATGCTAGCCAAGTACCCTATCGACATGCAGTTTTGAGCCTTTGGTTTCCCTGCCTGGGACGATTTCCACACTGGGAAAAGGATGAGAGTGGAAAGGAAAGAAAGAGCTGCTGGAGTAGATAACCTCTCTTGATCTTCGGAACCTTGTCTCTGACCTCCATGTTCATGCCCTGGCACACGGAGCACACTCACATAGCTACATCCAGGCATGAGGACACACGCCTTCAATCCTAGCACTTAGGAGGCAGAGGCAGGCAGATCTCTGTGAGTAGTGAGACCCTATCTCAAAAGACCAAAGGAAGGGAGCTAATGGCAATAGATCTCTCTCTCTCTCTCTCTCTCTCTCTCTCTCTCTCTCTCTCTCTCTCTCT